GCTGCACCACGTACTTGGCTTGAAGGGACCCTGCCTTGCTCTCCTTGTGCTTGTGGAGCTTGTTTGGTTCCCCAGCAGTTCCTGCGCAAGGCACTCAATTTGAATGGGGAGCGTGAGCTGTGCAGTGGGGCAGGAAGCAAGCCCACCAGGGGCTCTGAAGAGGATCCCAGGGGCGGGGCTGCTGGTCTCTTGGGTAGCTCAGCCCTTGTGAATTTTCTGGTTCTCCATCACTGTGGGTTCCCACCTGTCCTCTCACCGCCAGTCCGCCGTTGCGTATCTTGTTGGGCAACTGAGACAAAACCGAGTCCTGCATGCCTCTTCTCACTGGGCCCCGTTCTCAGCAGGCGGAAGCAGACATGCTGCTCTCATGCTTTCGCAGACAGGACCAGAAGCCTTGGACACACATGGAGTTTGGGGGTAAAACCACGCATTCTTTTCTCTGGTCCTGAGAAAGGCAGTGGAACCAATTTCCCACCTCACCCCTCATGGACAGTCACCACTGGCATCCCGCTCAGTGCCGGGTGCAGGGAAGATGAGGTGGCTGTGAGTTCGTGCCTTCCTGTCCTGCTCCATCCCATGCTGATGTATTAGTGCCTTTGGAAGAAATGCAGGTGGGGAGCGTTCCGTCATCTGATTCCACTGCTTGTGTTTGCTCACTTTGTCTGTTCTGGGGAGTTGCAGTGGGCTGGGAGAGAGACCAAACTGGTCTCCACCAGCAGCACGGATCCTGTCCGTATGTGGGCGCCCTGGCAGGGCATCCTGTGATGCAGCGATCCTTGGGCTCCCCGAAATTCTCCAAATTCTCTCTCTAACCTCCATCAGTCCTCAGGTTGTATCATGTGCAGCCCTTTTCCCCTTTCAGCGGAAATTATGGGCAGATGGCGGTTGTGTTTGTGCTTGGTTCCGAACATGAGAATTGGATTTAAAAAAAAAAAAACCCTGAAAAGAACTACAGGGAGGTGTAATTGGCAGTTACCGTGATTGCAAAACTTGAATCTATTGTATTTGTGCAATAAGATGGGTGAATACTGAAAATGAGTCAAAGCGTTTGTTCCCTTTGTGCCTGTACAGTCTCATTTCTGAATCTATGCACAGCTTCTGGGATGGGCGCCTGCCATCCACATTTTCCCCTGCAGGGGGCACTCTTGTCCCACATCTGGCACATTTGGCCATCTCAAGTCCAGCGAGGTCCAGCTGACTGCNGCATTGCTCAAGCTGCACACTGCAGCCCCATAGGGCCGAATGAGGAAGCGAAGGCCGCCCCCAGCAAGCAATCTTCGGCCAATGTGCCCAGCAAACGCTGAACTGCCCGGCACCTCCCACTGGGGCAAGAGCACGCCCTGACTGGAAAGATTGGTGCACCTGACTGAGCAGTCCCTCTGGAGCTGATCACCCGGGGAAGGGCTGACCTTTTGCAACCTTTTCATAGACATGCCGGCCAACCTTGAGCTTATCCTGGCAGTGTGGGCAGGACAGGACGGTTGAAGTCAGGTCAGCCTGGTCCTTAGGCATGATGGAGGCCTCCCTTCCCTTGGGGGCTCTGCACAGCCCGTGGGAAGAAGAGCCACAGGTGGGACAACCTGCACGGAGTCCCCTGCAAGCAGCATTGGGCCCCCGCTGGGTTGTGGGTCCCAGCACAGAACAGTCGTCTTTTTCTCAAATTTCCATTGGGGAGGAGCAGAAGTCCATGGATTCTTCTTTGTCCCTTTCCTTCTTGAGGAGGAGAGATCACAGATCTCCAGCAGAAGATGAGGCTGGTTATCTCTGTGCTGCCTGGCAGGAGGACCCTGACGTTCCTCACAGTGTTACTTTCTGCCTGGGAGCAGCGTGAACACCTTCACTCGTTCTCTCTAGAGCAGTCAACCAAGGAGCACTGAACAGCCACATTTCAACTGCCGTTTGGCATGTCGTCATCGCAGAGTGGAAATAACAGGTGTCTTTTTCCAGTGAGTGCCCTCTGGGTGCATGCCCACCTGCACCCTCGCCCTTCAGCGTGCAAGGTGTCAGGAGAGGCCGTGCCCTCTTCAGTATGGACTGCAGATCTCTTAGGGGGCTGAGCCCTGTGCAGCTTTTCCAGTTTCTGTAGCTTTGGAGTCATGTCTTTCCTCTGCACCAGGTTTGACCAGTGAGGGAGAGGAGGTGGATGGGTGGGTCCATCACGAAATCCAGACTGGGCAGCATCTGACTGCAACCCACCTGAATCCGCAGACCATGAGATTGTGCCTAATGGTTCAACCCACTTGGGATGCTTGCACGCGTCCTCAGTGGGAACGTTCAAAGAGGCGGCCACCCATCGTTCCCAGTCCTCGGGGTCCTGGGTGCAGTCCACGCTGCCTGTGCGCACCACTTGTAGACACTCGGGGCCAGAGGGGCCCGAATGCATGGATGCTGCTGGCAGGGCATTGAACAGCCCAGTGGCCACTTGTGCTGGGGGCACTGGGCTGCATGCACCCTCGGACTGGTCCAGCGTGCCTCCCCCCCCCCCAAATCTCAGGAGTTGTGGGGATGGGCGTTGTCGTGGGGCTGCTCCCGCCCTGCCCTTTTCCCAGTTTCCACTTGACTTAGTCTCTTTGGAGCCCCTTGGAGGGGAAGGAAGGGAGGAGTCTGAATTGGTAAGAAGGGCTCTCTTTTCCTGGCCTGGAATGCCTCCCTGACTTCAGAAAGGCATCTGTCCAGGCTTAGGGCTTTCTTTGCTACGCTCGGGAGGTCTTAACCCCAGGAAGGTGTGGTTGCTCAGTTGGCTGGAGAGGAAGAGGGGCGTCAGCTTATTTTTTCCCTCGCAGCGAAGCGTTTGATGATTTGGTGCTGGTGCTGTCTCACTTCCAAATGGAAGAATAGCTTCTGGGACTGGGGCCTGTTATCACCACTTTCACCTGCAGGGGGCACTCCAGCCCCACTTTGGGCACATTTGACAATCTCAGCCGGTAGGAGCTGCGGCTGATTGAACCCAATCCAGACCATGGGTGAGACGTGAAGAAGGGGCTCGTCCCGGATGCCTTGGCGCTGCTGTGTCCCTTCCTGGCTCGCTGCCGGGGAGATGAAGTGCAGCTCCCTGCATCACGACGAGGGTGCACGGCAGCCGGGCGATGAGGGATCTCCCAGTCCATCCCTTTCTGTGCAAAGTTCCCTGTCCGTTTCTTAATTGAACGCGTGAGCACTGTGTCACATTTCTTCTCTGTTCCGTGCATTTCATGTAAGGAGTTCCTTCTTTCTCAGAATGGACCAGAAAACTGGAAGTGTCTCAATTCTGTGTTGAGAATGAACCCATTTCTGCATTTGGTTCAATGGATGTGGCTTCGGATGTAAGTTTGTGCGTATGTGAACGATTCGCCTCACCCACAACTGCTGCAACAGCAACACTGGCCTGCATCCTGATGCCGGGAGAGGAAGATGCATGTGACTCATCCCAGCCTGCAGTTTATACTCTGAGCAGCTCAGCAGTTCAGCACCTCATTTGATTTGTGCCATTTTCCTCTTTCTTTGGGGAAAGCTCTGCTCTTCCCCACACGCACTCCTTGGCCAACAAAGACATGGACTCTGGACTGGAAGAGTGGTGGAAGGAATTTGGCCTTGTGTGTGAACGCCATGCCATTGCTCATGGGCTTTCCATCCTTGGTCCCCCGCCCTCTCTGTCCCATTGACTTGCACAGTTGCAGCATGAAAGCTGCCAAAGGGCCGTTTCCACCCCAAAATGCCCAACCACTGAAGCAGGTTTTTGCTTGGTCGAGCAGCCGCACTGCATTCCTTTTATAGATGTGCGGTGCATTTGCAGGGAAGATGTGTTGGCTTTGCAAAGCCAAGGAGAGTGGGGGGGGCTTTGCATGAAGGGGCGGGTCTTCTGCTCCGGCCTATTTAAGGAGCAAGAGGGGCCACCCAAGCATCACTTTGCTCGCGAAAGCCAAAGTCCTTTGGAGAGCTCACCATGGCCTGGGCTGTGCTTTTATTGGCCCTCTTCCACTTCTGCGCATGTAAGGACGGGAGGGATCCGTTCCACTTGGCCTCAGGGTCAGAGACAAGCTCATCCAATCAGTCTGCTAAGTTTGAGATTGTCCTGGAGCAGAGGTAATTGGTGTTTCCTTTTGCTTTGTCTAGGGGCCGCTTCCCAGCCTGCCTTGACTCAGCCGTCCTCCCTGTCCGCGCCTCTGGGGCAAACCGTAAAAATCTCCTGCGACAGAAGTGGTGGGAGCAGCTGGTACTATTTCAGCTGGTACCAGCAGAAACCGGGCCAGGCCCCTCGCATGCTGATCTATGGTGACAGCAGCAGGGGAGATGGGATCCCGGCCCGGTTCACCGGTTCCCGCTCTGGGGGCACCGGCCATCTGTCCATCGCAAATCTGCAGGCCGACGATGAGGCTGACTATTACTGTGCTGCCTGGGAGGACAGCAGCAACATGCTACACAGTGGTACATTTGGATGGGGAACTGAGACAAAAACCTCCGCTCTTCCCCTCGAGAGTGGTGAGCCGCGACTCCAAGCTTCAACTGCTACTCTAGCTGTTTGAATTGCTGAGCCAGAATGGAGAGGTAGCCCATCCCAGGTCTATTTCCAACCTGCATAGCTAAATCTCCAAAATCCAGCCAGACCACGTCAGAAAAAAGTGCGGCAAATCTTCAAAATTCTTCAGTTTCTGCTCCAAAGCAAGCCCATCCCTGCATTTGGTTCTGTACACACACATGCGCGCACACATGTATAAACACACGTGGAGATGAATATACGGACCTTGAACATAGCAAGTTGTTCATCTCCCCCATGCCTGGCTTCACAGGGAAACTCACTTCTGTCCTGGCACTTAGAAACGAAGGTGCCCGGGATACCTAAGCAGCCCACAGTCTCCAGGCCCATCAAGAATTCATCCTGATTTTGCTAGATTTCCTGCATATGGTGGGGAAAGCCTGGCAGTTGATGGAAAGAGTGGCACATGGGGTTGCACATGAAAACCATGCCAGTTCAAACCTACGTCCCATAAGCCTCTTTCACAGGGCTCAATCCACCCCCGCTGGGAAGCCGGCAAAGGCCTTTCCCAGTATTCCAGCTGCCCAGCAGTCCGGCATTTTCCTGCCCTGCCAATCAGCGGCATGGCATTCCGTTGATGGAGGCCAGACGCGTGCGTGGGGGAGACGGCCCACTTCGGCGGAGGCAGGGCAGGAGTCTCGTTCGCATGCAGGGGCCGTTCCTTTGCTCGGGGCTACTTAAGGAGAGAGAAGCGGCCACCCGGGCACCTCTCTGGAGTAAAACAAGAAAGCTCCCCATGGCCTGGGCTCTGCTTCTCCTGGCGCCCTTCAGCTTCTGTGCAAGTAAGGCTGGGAGGCAGGCCTTCCACGACTTCAGGGACAAAGACAAGCTCATCCAATATGTCTCCCAACTGAGATATTGTCATGGTGCAGCGCTAATCGGTGCTCTCCCTTTGCTTTGTCCAGGGGCCAATTCCCAGCCTGCCTTGACGCAGCCATCCTCCCTGTCTGTGGCTCTGGGGCAAACTGCACTCCTCACCTGCACCAGCAGTAGTGGGGGAAGCTGGTACGGTTTCAGCAGAAAGGGGGTCAGGCGCCCCGCATGCTGATCCATTATGATGACAGCAGGGCAGCGGCCTCCTGGACTGGTTCACAGGTTCCCGCTCTGGGGTCACCGCCAACCTGAGCATCACAGATTTCCAGGCCAAAGACGAGGCTGTTTATTCCTGTGCTGCCTGGGAGGGCAGCAGTAGCACCTCTCAGAGTGATACATTTTGATGGGGAACTGAGACAAACGCCTCCCCTCTCCCTCTCACTCGTGGTGAGCCGCGACTCTTTGCTTCAATTGCATCCTCATTCCCGAATGTACGGAGAGCTCTTGGGATGCAATCACAGCTTCCACCTGCAGGGGGAGCGCTTGCTCCAC